TCTAAGAAAATAGACCTACTTTAATAATGTTGATAATTCGCCCAAGAGGTGAAAGCTCATTGACTGATAGCATCTCTCGACTTCCCCGTGATATGGCAAAGTGTATTATCTTCCCTCTAAAAATTAACATAGAGATAGAAGCATCCAAGACACATGTGCAAAATGCCAGCTTTCAAATCCTCCACATTCAGGGAGCTCAGAGCAAGGCCATTGGTGAGTGAGTTTGGGGGGGGGGGGGGGACAGAGACGGGATTTCTCATCCTTAGGCTTGTGTAGCACCAGGACTAGGAACTGTGAAGCATTATAGGAAATGAAATCACCAGCTGTTGATCACTTAGGTTACTGAATGTCACCTAATCCCGACAGCAGCTTGGTGGCATTAGAATGGGCCCGATCTGTCTCTGCTGTTTACTAGCTGTCGGACCTCGTACACATGGTCACTCCCCTGAGGCTCAACTTATTAACCTGTGAATTGTGGAAAATGATGCCTCACACGTTGTTTTGAGATTTAAATAAGAAACCAGATGCTGCTTTGCAAGCAACCTTCTTGGGGCCTTCCAGGGTAAAATCTGAAACCGGCCTCCTTGGTAGAGGGCAGGGAGAGACTGAAGACAGAGGCAGCCCTCCAGATTGGTCATGGCAGGTATAAGAAGCAAGGGGACTTTCTTGGGTGGCAGCACGATGAGTAGATCTCCACGCGTGCCCACCAGACTCTTAGAAGTTTACTCAGAGGCCTTCTCTGCACAGTCCAGGAGCCTCAGCACCACAGTTCTATCTCAAGGCTGTATCCTTGGAGCAGCTTCTGGGAACAAGGAATGCAAGTGGAAAGCATATTCCAGGGACAGGGGAGGGGAAGGGGAGCCTCCACCTCAAGGGTCAACTGGCGGTAGCATCTTTTTGACGGCCTCCTTTAACCCCATATGTACTAGACATTCATTCATCCTTCCATGAGTGTGTATTGTTACCCGCTGTCACCAGTGACTTCACAATGCATAAAGCAGGCTTTAACGAATGTTGGTACTTCTTTCATCTAGGAAAAACTTGGTTTGGGAGTGGATCTTTCTGCCTACGTTTCAGTGGGAATGTGGCTCGTGTTCCAGGGACCAGCCTCACACAAGTTGCTCTGGGCAGCTGTGACCTAGAAGGGGCTGAGAACTTGCACATTCCTCTTTGAGACCCTTTCTTTCTCACCCTGGCCGCCTTCTCTCAGAGGTGCCCTCGAGATCAAGCCTTCCTCAGAGGTGGTTATGTGCTTAGTGTCAGGGAGATTTTCTGATTGCAAAGACAACGGGAAGCCAACAAAACTAAGGGAGGGTATGGAATAATAAAAGCACATAGCAAATTCCGACACACTGAATCCCACAGTACCAAAACTGGAGCAACAACCCGTCATTTTGCAGGAAGGAATTGATACCCAGAGAGGGTGTGTGACCTGCCTGGAGCCACACAGCAAGTTAGGGACAGGGCTAAGTTTGGGACACAGACTTCCGGACTTGGGGTCCAATGTATATCCTCTTTACCGTCAGAGGACGTGTTTATGGTCAGCGAACTGGAAAGCAGTTTTTGCTGTACTTCATGTTCAGCGTGGAGGATTGGAAACAGAATGAGGCTGCCCAGTCAGCTTTACCTCTTGTCAGGCCCTACCTACTGCACACTCTGGGCAAGATGCCTCTGGTTAGGATGGTGCCGTCCCCAAAGCAGCCCGGAAAGGCCTGGCATTGAGGATGGACTCCATTCAAATGTATTCATCCATTCACTTATTCATGCACCCCCAGACACTTACTGAGCACCTGTTATGTGTTATGTACAAGGGTGGCTGCTGGACAATTCATATTTGTCTGATCTCTCTTCTTGAGCAAGAAGGAGGACCTGAAATTCTTCCCAGGCTGGGCTGCTCAGAGCAGGGTGTAGCGTGGAATTGTGGGGCTGGCCCTCAGCTGTGGCAACAGGTTTAGGAAATGTGGAATCTATGTTCCACTTGAGGGTGACCAGAAAGCCGGAGGGGCCATAGAGATCCGAATCAAGGAAGCACCTTGGCTGGAGCTGAGAGCCGGCCACAGGGCTCAGAGGTAGGGTTGGGGCGGGGCGGATGACACAGGAAGATGCCCAGAGGTACCCAGAGGAGTCCTGCAGGAGAGCAAATAGATGGGAGGTAACAGCTAAGGGCGCCAAGTGGGCTTTGATAATACTTATCAGCCCTAACGAGTGAGTAGAGTACTTAAACATGGATTAGGAACACAGTGATGGTTATTTTTACTGTTCTCCTTAAAGAGAATGAGGGTGGAAAGGAGCAAAACCAAGGGATACTATAGACCAGTGCTTCCCAACCCCCTTCCCCCTTTTTTATTTTACTAAAAAACACATTAACTTTAAATTTACCATCTTAACCATTTTTAAGCACACAGTTCAGTAGCTTTAAGTACATTTACATAGCTGGGCAAGAGACCCTAGAACTCTTTCATTTTGCAACACTGAAACTCTACACTAGCTAAACACTAAATCCCCAGCCCTTGGTAATCACTTTTCTATGATTTTTGACTATTTTAGATACCTCATGTGAATAGAACCTTACAGTATTTGTCCTTTTTCCCAGCCCTTTAAAAAAATCTGTGTCCTGGCACCGTTCACAGGCGTGACAGCATCCCATTGGTAACATCTCCAATTATACACACACACACACACACACACACACACACACACACACACAAACACACACCACGGGGGAGAGCAAAAGGGAGGGAGAGGTGGCAGCAAATGCTCACACAGCCAAGTCTTGGGTAGGGATACACGCACAGTTGGAAAAAGCCCTCTAGAAATTCTGATACTCCCCAAGAGTATGCCCCCCTTGTTGAGACTCACTGTTGTGGACAGGAAAAGAGTTCTCCAAAGCATCGGAGGCAGAGCAGGAGTCAGTCACAACGTTTATTGAGCACTCATGGTGTACAGAGTACTGGGCAAAGCACTGGAAGGAAATACAGTGGAGATTCAACAGCTACTGTCGCTCGCCTCATGATTACATTTTAAGTGAATGGAGAAGATACACACACGAACATGTATAAACTAATATCTAGACACATGCATTTCTTATTCACCACTGCAAGCTATCTTGAGAGTTTACCGAAGTAACTAAGGCATGAGAAGCCATTGGGACACATGGGCTAAGTAAAAATCAAAGATACATTTCAGTGCTCAGGTTCAAACTTACCACTCTGGTGATGAGCGGAAGCTACCAGAAGACACTAGAAAATACCAGAAACTTGGTGAATCTATTTTCTTAACTCTATTGGTCATTTTATTTCAAATTTAAGAATTCAGTTTACCATGAAATAAAGGCAATTGACTCAACAAAGTATTAGAATAGCTTTATGTTAAAAGCATTTTTTTTAAAGTAAAATCAGCCTATTGATAGTACCATTTCCAAAGGTCAGGCACCGATTCTGAAAGTTAATAGCATTTTTCTTCTTTTTAAGAAAAGCTTCCATTATGTGAAAGACTTTCCAATAAATTTAGTGAACAGAGGCATTTTATTTCTCTATATTATATTTGGGAAAACTTGTTTATATTCTTACATGCTTTTAAAGTAGGGTTGCCAGATAAAATATAAGATATATTTTAGTGCATGGGACATACTCATACTAAAAAAAATTATTAATTGTTTATTTGAAATTAAAATTTAACCGGACATCCTGTATTTTAGTTGCTAAATCTGGCAACCCTATTTTTAGGTTAACATACCTTTGGAATTTCCAAAGGTTTCCAATAAGGTGTGGGGAGCAAAGAGGCTAATTTAGCTTCAGTTATATGCTAACACTGTCAGAGAGGAAGGTTTATTCTTCTGGCAGGAAAATGGTAGGTTTTGTAGGGTTTACTCAAATATTGGAGACATCTTCATTTCTTACACCTTTTATCATTACTATTTTAGCAGTGCACGTTTTAGTCAGTTGAATTTTTACCTTGAAATTTTTGACAGAGATGACTGGTTAGAATTATTAAAATAAGATTGTAGTCTGAGGAATAGAAAAACTAACATCTGGCTTGAAAAGTCCCCTATAACATATGTTCACATCCTCAATAATTTCTTCTCTGTTAACACTTTATACCCCCAACCCTCAAAAAAACAACAAATGTCAACACTCACATCTCGTTACATTATACAACGTCCCTTCCCCTATTCCTGATCACTTCCTGCCACTCTCTGCCCCTCCCCTTTCCATATTGATTTTTTTTTTTATAATTGAAAACACTAGCCCTTGTGCACCACAAAGAGTGTCTGTCAGGCATGGATCAATGGGTGGTCATGGACCCAAGAAAACAGGAAAATGAAAAGCTCACCTCTCAGATGCTTGGAGGCATGAAAACTATGAAAGAAAGTGGTGGGGAGGGAGGGAGGAGGGCTGGTAGACTGGATTGATACATTCTGTTCTAGAAATGCACTTCCTTGTATCTAAATGTACAGTTCATGTCTTATTTTAAGTTGAGATTCTACATTGGAGGAGAGAGATTTCAACACCAATTTTGCAAAGAAAAGAAGTTCATGAAACTCCAACCGTTGTAGAGGAATGTAGAATGATAACACTTTCTGAATTCCAACCTCTATCCACTATTCTTTTTTTAAACACCCTGAAGAGTATATATATATGTAAAGAATGTACTTCTCTGTTCATATTCCACATACACATAAAATTACTATGAACATTAACAAACACATAGATTGTACTTAAAGGCATATACAGCCTTTGACTTTCAAAAGCTACTTGTTAATTGAGTCCAAGTATGCCAGTTTTTATTCTGGGCCTGACTCCACCTGTTTCCAGCTTGGCCAGGTGCACATAGGTTACAGCTCTCCTTTGTACCTTGAGGTCTTTCCAGAAAAGAGGACGAGTATGAGAAATTAAGTTGAGGCAAAGAAGGCATGGGGTTTCATATCACCATATAAAGGTGGAGTTAAGCAATATATATTATTAAAGTAGAAAAATATTTCTATGCCCCCTCTGGCATTTAACATTCCTTATGCTAAGACAGCATTCCATCCAGCTACTTGCCACATACTCTTTTCTTTTCAGAAATATAAGTTCCAAATTCCATCGTTTAGACAACTTTCCAGATGCTGTTCTGATGACGACATAAACTTACGTCTCTGAATGCCCCTGACCGACCTCAAGGAGCACAAGTCAGGCTGTTCTTTTACTACAGAAAACGGCCGGAAGAGGGTTTGCTTTGGGTTCCCATTCGTGGTCATGATGAGGTGGGTGGCTACAGAATGTACGTGAAAGAGTGATGGACTCCCCAGGGGCAAAGTAGCCCCCCAAATTTTGCATCAGCAGAAGCAGTAGTGCACAGAAGGGTGTCCCTATGGGGAGTGAGAGCCCACTCTAAAGCCCCACTTCTAAAGCTCAGTAGGGTCCGCGTCCCAGTTTGAACACGTGCTTGGCAATTACATGTGCAGGAGGAGTCCTGTTGGACTCCTGTTACTGGCCTGCTGAGGTTTTTCTAATGGTGACTGGTATGGAAACTGCCTGCCTGGAGCTGCCTGGAAACCCAGTCCCGGCCCCGCCCTAGTAGTGTTCCCCTGGCACCCAGACGAAGGATGCCAAGCAGACAAGGAATAGTTCCCACTGGGGATGGCGCCTTCCTGCTCCTTCACTTCCCGCTTCCTCTTCCTCCTGCTTTCTTCTTTTTCTCCTTCTCTGCTGCCTCCCTAGGTCCCCGCTCCATCCTTTGGTGCTGGCGGCCAGGGCACAGCTCACGGGGGCGGGGCAGAGGCGCTGGCGTGGCTGTACGAGCGCCTGGACAGAGAGGCCCGGGTGGTCCTGCTCTCCACCTCCTCCCCCGCCTCCCCTCTCGCTCCTGGGGGACCAGGGTTGGGGCAGCAGGGGAACGTGGCCATGAAGCCGAGGCGGAACCGCTGGTTCATGAAGCAGTAGATGATGGGGTTGACGCAGGAGGAGGTGTAGGAGAGCAAGAGGATGAAGGAGATGGGGGTCCCGGAGAGGCGGCGCTCTGCAGAGGCGGTGTCAAAGGCCCGCCAGGCGTTGGCGCTGAAGATGGGCATCCAGCAGAGGAAGAAGAGAACCACGATGACCATGAGCATGCGGATCACCCGCTTCTTGGCCATCAGGTTGGCCGCGGGGCTGCTGCTCCTGATGCGGCTGAGCCTGCCGCCGCCGCTGCTGGACAACTGCTGCAGCTCCAGCTTCCCTGGGTGCTTGGACCTCTGCAGGTAACACCCATCGCTGGCCTCGTATCTGCCGCTGCTGCCGGGGCTCGGCTTCCTTTCTGGATGGGCAAGGGACAACACTTATTTTTCGGGATGGGTCATGCCAGACGGAAGGCGTGGAACCCCTGCCCCCTGCATCAAGGGGCTAAACCACACTTGAACTGTATATTGGGCAGGCGACCTCGGGCCTGCCTTGACGTGGGTAGGTATTGTTTACACTAGTCCTTTCCTTCAAATGAAAAGCTACTTAAAACTACTAAAATAATGTATAGTATCTGATGTACATAATTTATAATAGTAAAATAATATTTTACATATGTAGATTATAGGGCTAAAGAACTGTTCAAGAATGAATAGGCACACTCTTCTTCCAGCTCCTCAGGGGGAAGTTTCCTGCTTGCTTGGGAAAGCTCCAGACTGCTTTTACTGTGAGGACTCTGCATAATGAGCAAAAACCAAAGAAGGCCTTGAAGTTGTATAAGTGGTAAAGAGCTGAGTAAAGGGGTGGAGTGAGAATGGTGTGGGGGCGGGGCGGCGAGTGATACCAACAAAGGTGTCGGGTAAGTTTCTCTGGCGAGTGGACTATAATGAAAGGGGGGACGGGAGGCTCTGTGGCAGCTGCAACAGGAGTGAAGGGGAGGAGAGAGGATGGCGCCTGGAATTACAATTTGCTTTGGTTGCGGAAGGCGGTCCATTTGTATGCAACAGCACAGAGAGCCTGGGACCCATGGGCCCTCAGCTTGTAATTGGGCGATGTGTGTATTATGTCATCTTATTCCACTCAGCACCCTTTTGAGAGGAATAATTTCTTCATTTTACAGATGAGGAATAGAGACACTGGGTCTCATGACTGTGCCTTAGGACACAGAGTCTCCTAAGAAGACTTTTGAAAACCTCTAATATACCCTATACACACTCTGGGTATATCCATTTAAGTTACAGAAAATAAGCGTTTGTAATCTTTTGGCATAAACATACAGCTAAGAGATAGTTACCTCTAGCAGACTTCTTCTGGTTAGCATCAAATTTTATTCCCTGGTAAAGTTCCAGAGAGATTAATCCATATGCCACCATCATCACAATTCCAGGAATAAGAAAGAGGATGAGTAACAGGAAGGTGTGCCTAATAAAATAAAAAGCAATCCAATAACCAGCATCTCTAGCATTTCAAACTCAGATGGGATGGAATAAGCAGGGTTCATCTCCATTTTAATGAGTCTGAGGAAACACATTAATTACTAGTATTTAATATCTTTGGAAATTCCCCATCTGGAGAGTCAGTCATTAGAAGTTGTTTTCTTCTTTTCTTTCAGATAAAGTCTCTTATGAAGGACTAGTTAAATGGAAAAGTTTGGTGTAAGTCTGCCTGAAACAAGTCTACATTTAAAACAAATGAGAGCTTAAAAAAGAAAAAACAAACAAGCCAATGAGAGTAGGTGAATACCTCAATAAAACGGTTTCTGAAATAATAATAAGAAGAATTTACATTCATTGATGACTTATTCAATTTCAATATAGTATATATATATATTACTATATCTAATTCCCATAATAACTTTTGAGGTAGGTACTATTAACATAATACCCATTTTACAAATGAGGAAACAGACTTAGAGACAATAAACAATTTGTCCAAAGTTACACAGCTCGTGGCAAAGGTGAGATCTGAAGCCGAGCAATACAATTCTAGAACTCAGGCTCTTAAACATCACAATATACCATTTGTTGACTTTATAGCAACAGAATCGTCTAATGCATAGGTAGCAATGATGGAAAACCTCCTTGGTTTTGCAAAATAAGCATTCTGGCTGTTCTGACCCGCTGGCACAGTGGCAAGCTCGTTCTAGTGCCTGGTGGGCCAGAGCTATGCTTTCTCTAAATATGTTTGATTTCTGAAGAATCGCAGCCTCCTTCTTTATGAGTCTGGCCCCTAAATCACTTTTGCAGTCTGGCATGTGTAAGATTACGCGATTAGGCCGTAAAATTGTCAGAGGCTCACGGTGGCTGAGCCATTTCTTATTTCAATTGGACATGTTTTGATAAGAGTTCTTTTCAAATCTTGGAAAAGTCCCTCATTTGCAACATAACTCTTTTTGTGTGTACGCGTTACTTGGTTGAAATGAAAAAAAGGAAGGCAAAGAAAGCAGAGATTATCTCAGTTTTGAGCTATGTTTTTTTTAAATCCTTGTCTGAAGTTTCCAACATCTGTGTTATTTAGGGTTGGTTTCTATTGCCAGTTTTTTTCTATGTACAGCTCATATTTTCCCATTTATTCCCATGTCTAATACTTTTTTAAAAAAATTTATTTATTTATTTTTGGCTGTGTTGGGTCTTCTTTTCTGTGCGAGGGCTTTCTCTAGTTGCGGCAAGAGGAGGCCACTCTTCATTGCGGTGCGTGGGCCTCTCACTACGGGGGCCTCTCTTGTTGCGGAGCACAGGCTCCAGACGCGCAGGCTCAGTAGTCATGGCTCACGGGCCCAGTTGCTCCGCAGCATGTGGGATCTTCCCAGACCAGGGCTCGAACCTGTGTCCCCTGCATTGGCAGGCAGACTCTCAACCACTGCACCACCAGGGAAGCCCTTGAGCCATTTTTAAATGTCTAGCTCCCTGCTTCTAAAACATGCTGGGAACTGGTAAACATAATGTCCTGCATTTGTGTAGCCTTTTTAAAGATATTTAGTGACATTTTCATAAACATGCTCTCATTTGAATCTCACATCCATCTAATGAGGTAGATAAAAAAAATCTTTATTCTTAAATCTTTGTGTAGATAAAGAACTTGAATGTCAGGGAGGTTATATGAACTTGTCCTATATCACCCACTAGTAAGCAAAGAAACAGGTACTAGAACCTTGCCTTTTTATTTCCAGTACAGTGTCCCGTGCAAATACCACAGCTGCAGCTCTAAGAAAAACCACGTGGGATTTGGAACTCATCCTCGGCTCTACCTCCAGTTCTTGGAAAATCAGAGCTCTTCCAGAAGCACGCTGCATAGTGGTTAAGACCAGATGCTATGCTCTCTTATCTCTTCTAGGTTTGGGAACTTGAGTGACTTGCTTAACCTCTCCATGTCTCAGTTTCCTCTGTAAAATGGGGACAATAATAGTACCCACCCTATAGGGTTTTGAGAGGATTAGTTGAATTTATATATATATATATATATATATATATATAGCATTTAAAACACAGCACTCTAAGTGTTTGCTGTCACTGTTACTCTAGAAAGAGGTTCGAGTGAAACTTCTCGATAAGTCTCCAGGAGACTGATGCCCCCAGACACTGGACAATACATTCCAGTTTTTATTAAACCTGCAAAATTATATCGAGTTGTATTAAACAAATAAACCCATGCAGCCTTACCAGGACTGCTGCATGACATCATTTGGCAGTAGAAAGCGGCACATGTTCGCGGTCTGATTGTTATTTTTGGTAAAAGGCACCAAGTTGCTATAAATCGGGTACGGAGTCATGATGGTAAAGGAGAGGCACCAGGTAGCGGCAATCACCTTCAAAGCGTGGGATTTTGTCTGCCAGACGCGGGACTGTAAGGGTTTGCAAATTGCACCATATCTCTCCAGCGATATGGCTACCAGATTAAAGGTGGAGACACTCACAGAGGTGCCTGGAAAAGGAACAAAGAAGCTGGTTATGCAGGCTCTGAAATCCAAAGTTTATTTGCACAATGAGCTTAAGCATACCTGATCTGCGCAGGTTTGATAGATAGCAGAGGAAAACGCTCAGAGGGTAAGAATATTGTGTATGTATATCTAAAAAAAAATGACTTATTCCCAGCTTTGTTCCCAAAACGATTTGAGGCAGGTAAAGAAATGTGTTTGCAAATACATCTTATTGCCAATTTTTAGATAAGTTTATTGAACTTTGATTACAACCAACTCCTTCCTAGGCTGAAGGCGCTCATTAATTAATAACCAAGTGGATGAAATATGTTCCTATCCCACAGAAGAGGTTCTGAGTGACCTGTAGAATAGCTTTAGTTTTGAGTGTGATCTGCATAGTTAAGTTGACCTTTTAACCCAATATTCTCAAGGACTGTGACCCTGAAAATTCAGTGGGGTCTGAGCTGGGAGCATTAAAACTCTTCCTGAAAATTTCTAGTACAGACTTTTTTTTAAAGATTTTTTTGATGTGGATCATTTTTAAAGTCTTTATTGAATTTGTTACACTATTGCTTCTGTTTCATGTTTTGGTTTTTTGGCCACAAGGTATGTGGGATCTTAGCTCCCTGACCAGGGATCAAACCCACACCCCCTGCATTGGAAGGGGAAGTCTTAACCACTGGACCACCAGGGAAGTCCCCAAACTGTTTTTAAGAGTGAAACATTCTAAGTTTCCAAATGGAGTGTTGAAAAATTACCTAGTGAAAAAGGAAGAAGGGGAAACTCTCCATATTATAACTAACGTTTTTCTCTGGGTGGAAGGACTAGGGCCTTTTTTCTTATTCTCTTTGCTTTCTGTATTTTGTAAAAGAAACATGCATCATCAGTGAGAAAGACGTCAAAACACCTCATTCAAAAGGATATACTTACGTATAGTCAAAAAAGCTTAATTTTCCTTATTTTTTGTATTTTGTGTGTGTACATACTTATTATAATCTCATATCCCCTTAAAATTCCCTTCATCCATAAATTCAACTGATTCTTCTCTTATCTCTTACCATGATGGAGGAGTTCTTAGCCTGGGGCCTTTTGTGAAACTATGTATAAAAATATTCTTTTTCTAGGGAGAATATCCATAGTATTCCTGAGAGACTTGAAGGAATCTACAACCCTGAAACCATTCTATAAGAACTTACGTTCTGAGACAGGATTTGCTGTGTTTTATAGGACTTTACTCTAAGGAGTTGATGACATCTGAATTAGAGGGTACAGCCCCAAAGTCCTCAGAGTCAAGTCTGTACAATGGGTCCACTGTACTTATAAACCCACCAGCAGGCAAGCACTCTTTTTTTTTGGCTCTGTATTAGGAGCTTAATGAGTGTTCACTATAAGAAACGGTATTGAGGAGAACATAAAATTAAGGGAAGAATTGAAATCACTGGAATCAGAAATCCAACAAAACCATTAGGGTATTGCAAACACTTTCAGAATTATCTTGCTTTTCATTTTCTAGAACAGTCTGTCCTAGAAATTTTCAGGAAGAGTTTTAAGGCTCCTAGCTCAGACTGCAGCTATTTTAAAACATTTTTGGTTGAGGTGACACTTACATCACATAAACTTAATCATTTTAAAGTGAACAGTTCTGTGGCGTTTAGCACCTTCACAGGTGACACATCACATAAACTCAATCATTTTAAAGTGAACAGCTCTGTGGCGTTTAGCACATTCACAGTGTTGTGCAACTACACAAGCACTCTCTTTAAATCTCCTTCCACAAACCCTGGTTAAGATTATTCAATATTATCATAAGATATATACAGACAGGTCTTGAAAGCCTAAAGCACTATGAGATGTTGGTTATTATTATTGCGTCATTGTTTAACAATGATCCTTTTCATTTGTGCGTCGAGGACTGGACCCAGATTGACACTTCCTTGGCTATTTGTCCATGTCGCGCAGATCAGTTATTCGTCAGCATTTTGTCACTGCTGGATCCTGCTTCCTCAACTGGGAGAAATAAAGGCTTTTAAAGCTTTCCGGTCATTGAAGGCTGCCCTAGCCCAACTCAGCTCTGCGTATTTGGCCCAGCTTAGGTCAGAACAAACAACAACTCCTTCCTCATTCCCCGCCTCTCCTCCTCCTCTCCCAGCTAATTCTCACAATGGGCAAGGGACAAAGCATTTTGGCAGACAGAGGGGACAAAGAGACATGTTTTGTTTCCGCCTTAGAAGAGCCACAACAGTTGGCAAAGCGAGGTCATGTACTCACCACTGTTGTGGCTACCGATCTGGGTTCAAGTCAGCTCTGTAGCTTACCACCTGTGTGTCCTTGGGCACATTATTAACCTCTCTGTGCCTCTGTTCCCTCCTCAGTGAAACAGGGAAGGATAACTGTATATTCTTTATAGGGTGGTTGGGAGATAAAATATGATCATGGAAGTAAAAATTCAAAGCAATTAGGAGAATATCGGGTGCTCAAAAAATGCATTCAAAAATATTAGCTCTTGTGACTTTTATTATCATCACCATCATTTTGATTGGCAAAGGCAGACAGCTGCATATCTCAGCCAACCAGTGTCAGCTTAGTGACCCACAGGCTCTAGGAGCAAATTCAATTCCTCGTCTAGTGGCAGAGGTCTCTCTCTCTCTCTCTCTCTCTCTCTCTCTCTCTCTCTCTCTGTGCCTGAGATGGTCCCAGACCCTGGGAAAACAGTCTGGGAAGTGAATCCTGAGAAGGGAATCTAGACCTCTGATGAAACTCGTTTTCAAATAGTCCCTGTTCCTTAGGAAAGCCAGAGCAACGGCAGAAAGAGCCCTCTTCCAGCACCCTGGCCACCCCAAAACCATGCCTTGGGTTGGGTAGAGCTCAGAATACAATCAACGACCTCCAGGAAGGAACATAACAGCTTGCATCTGTCTTACTTTCTAACAGAAGCAAGCAAAACCAACCTCTTCTGTGGCTTCTTACCAACTTATTCCACTTTGAGAAACTGACCCTTAAAACTGGGGACTGACTTCTGGGGAGTTATGAGGACTGAGCCCCCCATAAAGCCAGCTCCTCTGTCCTTACACCTAGCCCCACACAGACAGATGTTTTGTTTTGGCTGTTAAGGGTTGGGGAAGGTCTGGGGCTGAGCAGGGTCTGGGGCGAGCTCCAGAAATAGGCACCAGCAGCAACTCACCCATGAAGTAGGTGGTGGTCTTGCAGACAGCGCTCCCAAAGATGAAATCCTTGAGCAGGTTGGGGATGAGGTTGAACGGCATGCAGAAGAGGCAGAGCATGAGGTCACTGACAGCCAGGGAGAGCAGGAAGATGTTGGTGACCGTTCTCATCCTCTTGTTCCGAATCAGCACCGTGATGACCAGCGTGTTTCCCAGCACACTGAGCAGGAATATCAAGGAGTACAAGAGAATCTGCACGGCTGGCTGCCACTCTGAGAGGAGGAACGCGGACGAGGGATGGAGGTTATGAGAGCAGAATGTTAAAACCTAGCACGCGCAGCAAGCACTTATTTCCTGCCGATTTTTTTTTCAGGGGCGGACATCATTGAACCCAGCTCTCCCTGTACTTAGCAATATTTTGCAGAAACAAAGTGAGGGGAGCACAGAGTGATTCAGTTGCTCCTAAAAGGTTGGTCTGTTAAAGGATCACTCACTCAGGGAACCACTTTTTCTTAAGAACAAAGCTTCCCTAGTGAATAGTGATTGCTTTCTTTCCTAGCTGCTAAGCATTATTTCGCTATAATCACTTCTTCACACTGATTTCCCCCAAGAAAAGGCGACAGCTAGATTGTGACAGCACCTTTTCTGTGATGCTTGTAAAGTTCAAGCTTTTACACTTGTCCTCGCTTCTGGCTCCCCTTCAGGTCCTCCTCCCACTGCTTTTGTGCCCCCGAGTCCTGTACATTAATCCCAACTCTCCCCTGGGGAACAAGAAGAACATTGGACTCAATTCTGCTCTTTGATCTCTTATCCAAACTTCTGAACAGATGACTTTACCCAGCCTTGTCTCACGAGGACTTTGTTATATTTTTTGCAGTCAGCCTTGCCTTTGCTGATTTCTTCCCCCAACGTAATAGTTTTCTGAATTAAAGTATCAGCCTCTGACACCTACCTTTGGAAGCATGGGGCTGATCCAAGCAGAAAAGCGTCTCGTTTTCGATCCCCAGTTTGCAGGGAGGCGTCGTGTTGCTTCCATTCAAGAGAAGGCTGTCCACATCCATCCTTGCTTTGCTGCTTTTCACCAAGCGCTGGTGAGCTGATGAACTGCTCACTCTTGGCTCATTCCTCTAATGACCGACTGGAGAGTTTCCCAAATGGAACCTGCCGTGGAGGGGCAAGGGGGTTGGGGGAGTGATTGCCAGGTGTGGGCTTCTGAAGCCATTCTTAAAGGTGACTGGAGTTCCACACACTCAGGCCAGCTGGGCAAGCATGTGCACTCCTGTCTTGGAAAGAGCAGCTGGTGCAAGGCAAGCCTGCTCCACCTTCCAGGCCCACCCCATTCCTGGGCCAGCCATGGGGCCCTGAGCACAGACAGCCTGATTGTAGCTTAACCCTTCCTGGAGTGTCGCTGCTTTTCCACACACATGCCCACAGGTGTGGACACACACACACATGGACACATTACCTCTCTTCTCTGTATAGGAACCTGTCACCGTCCCAGACATAGGCAGAATAAAGCCCAAACTGGCCGTGTGAGACAGAAACAATTAACACAGTAACAGATACCATAATGCAGAGCATCAGGACTAAAGGACACGGAGGGACTGTGTTTCTACCTCCTTATATAAAAGCAGTTAGTGCCTTTTTAGCTTTGGACTCATGCCCAGCAGTGTGTGTGGATATAACTACCGGTTGTTAAGTTCTTACCAACCACAGGGTTATTTCTCTGCCCTTGGAAACTGAAAGAAGGGGGGTACTTTGACTATAGGTGCCTGGATTCTTATTACAGAAACACTTGAGTAAGATTTTCCATTCGTTCATTTATTCACTCATCCATTCATTCAGCACATGTTCATTGAGAGTCAGCCGTTTGCCAGGTACTTTTCTAAACACATAAGCAGATAATGAATAAGATTATTTCAGATGTGTAAAGCACCACAGAGGAAGTTAAGCAGGAAGGCGTAATGGAGAGGGATGGATGGGGGGGTGCTAATTTAGGCAGGGTGGTCAGGAAGGGCCTCCCGCAGGAGGGGTCTATGATCAGAAAGCTAGATGGCAAGGAGGAGGAAAGCTTGTGCCGATCTGGAGGAAGCTGCTTCTAGGCAGCAGGAGCAGCCTGCTTGGCAGAGGTCACAGCAGGAGCAAAGGCCCTGAGGTGGGAATGAACTTGACCTGTTTGAGTTCAGTTAGAAGTAGGAATGAGGTGGGAGGTTAGGATAGAGAGGGGGACCTGGCCGGGAGCTCTAGGTTTTCTGTGAGGCTTTGTGGTGCCGGAAAACTCCTCCAGCCCTATTGTACACGTGCTCTCCTGAGTTGAGACCTTTGGGACAGCAGGTGACAGCAGAGGGCCCTGTGTTTCTCACATGTTGCTTGGCCCAGCTGAGACCTGGTCTAGACGCCTCTGGGACCCCTTGTGCTTTGACAACTTGACAGAGCTACGTGTTATATATTTGCTGAATCCCTGCCGGACACAGATGAGCTAATGGACATTTTCACCATCCAGGCTCAGTGGAGCTGGGAAGAGAGTGGTACCTCTGTTCTCTGAAACCATGAACAGCTCACGTTGAGGCACTTAGTCATAAGAGCTAGAAATTCGAGGAATGTTGGAGAAGCTAACAGTAATTATTAAGAAGACAAGCTTTGGCATCACATCCTGGCTTCACTGGTTACCTGCCGGGAAATACTGGGCAGGTTTCTTAACCTAAGGCTCATTTCCTTCTTCTGTCAAATGGGGACCAAAATGACCTCATAGATATTTGTTATGAAGATTGATTGCCTCAGGACAGTGCCTGACACAGAAAAAGTGTTCCATAAATCACAGAGAATAATAACTATTATTATTATTTTCCTTTTACACACAAGGAAATTGACTCAGAGTGGCCATGTGATTTGCTGGCGAGAACCAGCTGTGGATACCCCCTCACTGGCCGGCAGCCCCATCCTCACTCCTCTCCCTGCAGCATAGAGCTTTCTTCACTGTCCTAGTGTCCTGCAGCCAGAACCCGTGTCTCTGCCTGTCATTCCTGCCTCGGTTCCTGTTGGCTGAATCTTCTCATTCTGCAGACTGATACGGACCCTGCCCACTAGGAGGGGACCCTGTGCAATACTGTCCTGATTTGGAAAGGGATAAACATTCAGATTCTGAGCACTGGCTATAGCTAAATTTCACTGCACTGCTGTTCCTAGCAGCTGACTGCTTCAGCGCTTTAAGTGGGCTGATATCACCGTCCATAGAGGGTGCTTCCTAAGGACGTTCCTCAGGCCCTTCGGCTGCACTCCAGCCACTGTAGGGAACCTGCTGCTCAGGGTCCAAGAGCAGAGGGGCAGAGGGCTGGTGTCCACCTGCTCTGAACTGAAATGGAGCCCAATTTGGAGCATTTCTCCTCCTTTCCTTCCTCCCTCCCTCCCTCCCTTCTTTCCTTCCTCCCTCCCTCCCTCCCTTCCTTCCTTCCTCCTTCCCTCCCTTCTTTCCTTCCTTCCTCCCTCCCTTCCGTCCTCCCTTCCTCCCTCCCTTCCTTCCTTCCTTCCTTTTTTCCTTTTATCCTTTCTTCCTCCTTTCCTGCCTTTCTATTCTGTTCTGTTCATCCATTGGCAGGAAGAAAGGGTGGAGTGCAGGACAGTGAGTCCTAGAAGTTTTGTAAACTCGCAAGGAGTAACTGTGGCACATTTGAGTGCTGTGCTTTACGAACTTTAGTGCAAATCTGATCACTCGGCTTAGTGGTTAAAAATTGGGGATTTCCAGGCTCCCTTCCCAAGGATCCTGATCCTTCAGCCCCAAGCCTGGGAATCTGCACTTTTATCCAGCATTCCTGGTGACTTGGAGGCCAGTGATCACAGGATTACCTCTCAGGAAGCTCCCTGGAAGCTGGTAAGTGTGTGAGAACAGGTGTCAGATGGCGGGAACCTAAGCCTGAACTTCACCCCAGTTGTGAACATGAACAAATTACCTGGCTTTTCTGAGTCTCAGCTTGTTCATCTGTAAAACAGGCATAATATAGCACTACCTCTAAACAAAGCAACACATGGAAAGCACCTCGAAAAATGCCTAGAACACAGGGCTGGACTCTAATTGTTATTATCAGTGGATAAGAGTAATCCTGGGAATGCTCTGTTTATCCCCGTTATCACGGTCAGGATAAGGGTTTGTGTCTCCAGTACACCAGCACAGTGCCTGGCATACAGTATGTGCTTGGGGAATGGGAATAAATAAGGAGTAAAAAATCAGGAGAGCCAATATTGCATTGCTTATTCTACCCTTCTATATCTCTATTACATCGGTTCTTTTCCTGGTCAGCTCTGGAGTTTTCAGTCTGACTTTCGGAGCCAGTGTTACCACAGAGTTAAATTTAAAAAGAGAGAATTCCAACAAGAGACATTAGGGCTATCAAGGGGAGAGCTGATGCATTTTTCAGGGCGTTAGCCGTTACTTCGTTCCTCAGTACGCATTTATCGAATAACTTCTAAGCGCCAGGCAAGGTGCCAGGTGCTGGGGATAAGCCATGAGCCAAGTGGATGGAATCCTGCCCTTGGGAAATTCTCCGTGCACTGTGAGAGGCAGGCGATAAACAGATGGGGCAAAATAAGAGTAGCCTTCTCGGGCTTCCCTGGTGGCGCAGTGGTTGAGAGTCCGCCTGCCGATGCAGGGGACACGGGTTCGTGCCCCGGTCCAGGAAGATCCCACATGCCGCGGAGCTGCTGGGCCCGTGAGCCATGGCCGCTGAGCCTGTGCGTCCGGAGCCTGTGCTCCACAACGGGAGAGGCCGCAACAGTGAGAAGCCCGCGTACCGCAAAAAATACAAAACAAAACAAAAAAAAGTAGTCTTCTCGCCGTGGAGCCCTACCTTCTGACTGAGCAGAGGCCCAGGAGAATTGATAAAAATTCACTGAACTGAGTTGAAATGGTTTAAGTGCCTCCCCTCTCTCCGAGCCACAGAGTTTGGGTGTCTCCTGCAGTCCCCAAAGCCCTGTGGGTACTGAGGACATCTGGCAAACGCTCTCCACTAGGAAGACAGAACATGAGCAATCCTGATGGACCCCTGGATAAAGAAATTGGTAGCTGTTCCCCAAACCATTCTCCATCTTAAGAAACAGTTGTTCTAAAATACATAAAAGATTTATTTGGATTTTTTCCCTCATTATAACATGAATCATATACTCATGATTCATGCTATGCACATTTTTTAAATAAAGAAAAATAGATAAGTAAAAATATTATACAAATACATTTCAGAGCCCCACATGATTTATCCTCAGAGAATCACAGTCCGGAAGCCAGAGGTAGTTAACAGGTAATGGTATGTTGCAGGATTCTCAATTCTTAGGGGCAGCCTGACATTTCTTCAAATGATCTTGCCTCCCCTCTGCATTTTCCCCCTCTCTGCTGCTCAAAATGTCACTCTCTAAATTCCTTATTCCTCATTCTCTTTCTAAACTCACCCAGACTGCTGCCTACTAGGGTTTTTCTCTTTTCCTCCCTGTAACCATCTCAAATTTCTGGAAGAGCCTGACTGGGACTCCCCTCCCTCCTCACCCTGCACTGGCCACGTATGGGTTCCTCAGGAGGGTAGATGCACTGAGCCCTGCTGCCCTCAGAGGCTTGTGTGCAACCCCCTCTGAAGTCCTTCTCCCACTGGCTGCCCTTCTTGAGAAATCATATTGGATCCTTTCTGACAAGTGAAAAACCCCTCCTTGCTACAGAGGAGGGCAGACATCATGTCTGTGTCTGATAAGGCTGTCACTTAACAAGTCATGGCTGAGTTTGGGCAGGTAGCTTTGCCTCGGTCTCCATTTCCTCACCTGTAAAATGGGTTAACAGAGGTAACACCTACCTCAGAGAGCTGCTGGGATATTACATGTCACAGTGTGTGTAAAGCACACAGCAGAGTGGTTGGCATGTCATAAGGGCTCAGTAAATAACAATAACGATAGCAATAGTAATAGTAATAATAATAATAATATACCATGTTTCATGTTGATAGGAACATTAAAATCATCCTTAATACCACTGCCTCAAGATAGATGTTTGTTTGTTTGTTTGTTTGTAAACATCTTTATTGGAGTATAATTGCTTTACAATGGTGTGTTAGTTTCTGCTTTATAACAAAGTGAATCAGTTATACGTATACATATGTCCCCATATCTCTTCCCTCTTGCGTCTCCCTCCCACCCACCCTCCCTATCCCACCCCTCTAGGTGGTCACAAAGCACTGAGCTGATCTCCCTGTGCTATGCGGCTGCTTCCCACTAGCTATCTGAGAGAGTGGCATGGACATATATACACTACCAAAGATAGACGTT